ATGGAAGTAATATAGAGTCACTGTACCAAATATTTATAGTCATGTTCACTCATTCAAGAGGTACTGTATGGTTAAGAACTAATGTTAATGAAGGAAGAAGTCCAAGCGTCTTCGACAGCATTGGCAAAAGCAAGGCTTCAGGAATTGAAATAATACAAATTGAAATATTTCAACAAATTGATGCAATGCTAGAGGCTCTTACATGTCTATGCCAAGAAATTGGAAGACAGCTAGCCTGGTCAAGACATTTGAAGAGATCCAAAGAATGATGACCCAACAGAATGAGGAACTCAGTGAGTAATATTACCTGCAAGTACAATTTTGCTGAAGGTAATTGAAGAACAGTTGCAACAGTACTTGACAGGGAGCTGTCAGAAATTCCAGCCAGATTCAGAAGAGAACGGGGGATTTCTTTGCTGATGTCAGTTGGATCTTGGCTAAAAACAGAGAATATTAGAAAGATGTTTATATGTGGTTTATTGACTATGAAAAACATTTGACTGTATACATCATAATAAACCATGACTAGGTGTTCCAGAATACATAATTTTTCTCATGATACACATGTACATAGACCAAAAGGCAGTATTTTAAATAGCTCAAGGTAATACTCAATGTTTTAAAACCAGGAAAGATGTGTGTGAAGATTGTATCTTTTCATCATGTTTATTCAATCTATATACTGAGAAAATCTTCTGAGAAGTTGGATTGTGTGAAGAAGAAATTGGCATCAGGATTGAAGGAAGACTCATGAAAAACCTGCAAAAACAGATGATACAACCTTGCTTGAAATACTTATAGGTGAAGATCAAAGACTACAGTCGTCAGTATGGATTGCAACCTCACTATAAAGAAAACAAAAATCCTCAAAACTAGATTAATAAATAACATAGTGATAAAAGGAAAAATTATTACCAAAAACTTAATTTTGCTTGAATCCATAATCAATGTTCATGGAAACTGCAGTCAAGAAATCAAATGACATATTGCCTTAAGCAAATCTGCTTCAAAAGACGTCTTTAAAGAGCTAAAGAGTCAATTTGAGGACTAAGGTGTGCCTGACACAAGCCATGGTATTTTTAATCCCCTTATTTGGAGACCTGGTGTGGTGCTGTGGGCTAATGCACCAGACTGCAAAGTCATTTGAACTACAAGGTCAGTGGTTCAAGCTTACCACTTGCTCCTTGGAAACCCTATACAAGGTCGCTATGGGTAGGAATTAACTCGATGGCACTTAACAACAGCAACAACATATGCATTTGGAAGGTGAAAAATAAATAAGGAAAATTGTAGAAGAATTGGTGCATTTGAATTATTGTATTGATGAAGAATATTGAAAGTATTGTGGACTATCAGAAGAACAAATAAAATTTGTCTTGGAGGAAGTACAACCAGAATGCTACTTAGAAGCAAGGACATATATTGGACATGTTGTCAGGAAGGCCCAGTCCCTAGAAAAGGACATCATGTTTAGAAAAGTAGGTCATTGAAAAAGAGGAAGATCACCCAATGAGTAGTACTGTCATAGTGGCACCAACAATAGGCTCAAAGATCACAAAAATTGTGAGGATGGCACCAAATCAGACAGTGTTTTGTTCTGTTTTTGTTAGCGTCTCTATGAAGTACAATTGACTGGATGGTAGCATAATCTAACCCTAGAGAAAATGATTCAATAAAACTGAACAAGAACTATTGCTAGGCCAATATTCTTTAATAGAGAAGCTTATTAGAGCTGCATAAGGTTGTTGTTGTTGGTGGCTGTGTACCATGCAATTGGTTCCAACTCATAGCCACCCTGTTATAGGGTTTCCAGGGCTGTAAATCTTTACAGGAGCAGAAAGTCTCATCTTTCTCCTGCAGAATTCCTGGTAGTTTTGTACTTCTGACTGTAAGATTAGCAGCCTGACTTGTAACCACTAAAGATAAAGATTCTCCAGCCCATATGACAAAGATTCCACTCTCATTGGTTTGGGTTGGGAAACATACATCCATCTTCTTCCTATTTTCACCACTGGTTAACACCTCTGACCTGAATGGAAATTCTGCAAATGAAAGAAATGTCTCACTGATAGTGAAAAATTTGCATTTAGAAAATGCCAATTTTTCTATCTTCCAATGATCCAGAGATAAATAGATAATACTTTTATGGTCAAATATGGTCACTATGATAAAGAGCTATCTGGTCCAAGAAAATAAGTGTCCTTAATCTGTTTGGTATGGTGGTTGTGTGCCATTGGGTCATTCTGGACTCACTGAAACCCTGTATAGGTTTTCCAAGGCAGTAAATCTTTACGGAAGCAGAAAGCCTCATCTTTCTTTTGGGGAGCAGCTGGTAATTTAAACTGCTAACCTTGTGGTTAACAGCCCAATGAGCAACCACTATGCTATCAGCGTTCCTTCTGCCTTGTTTAGGGAAACAGAAATGATCATTTCTAATTCACCCTGAAGACCTCTTTTAAAGATATAATTTTATAAGGTAATGATCCAACAACTCCAAAATGCAGTAGAATATTGAAACAAGTATTTGGGGAATGTTATTAATTTATTCACAAATATTTAATGAACACGCTTTGTTTCTCTATACTGAAATAAGCATAGGCAAAACAAGCCTAACACAGTCTACAGAAGAATTCAGATTAGTTATTAGGCATCACAAAATATTCAAGGTGCTTTAACAGCTAAGGTGAAAGCAGGACACTGTGAAAGACACAATATGTACTTAACATAGAAAGGTTCTGAGGTGAGATATAATCACTTTTCCTTGAATTTTCAAACAAAGAGAAAAATGTAATAATCCTAACAGATGGAATTGAAATTCTGAACAATTTTAAGGAGTGTGGATTCTATTCTGAGAGCACTGGAGATACTTGCAATAGTTATAGGAAAATTGTGATAAATCAGGTTTGCACTCTAGAAGAATCATCCATCTGGTTGTACTATGGAGGATAGATGATAAGGAAGTGAGCCATAGCATCAAATATAGGGAGATTTTAAATGACAGTAACTTGAACTCAGTGACAATGGAAATGAATAAATAAATGGGACACACGGGACATAGGTGGTAATATCAACACACTGTGGCAATAGATTCAGTATATTAGGGAAAAGAAGAATATGTTCAGATTTCTGATATAGACAACTATGCATGAATGATTGATGATGCCATTCACTGTGATAGGAAGAAGATAAGAAGAGTAAGTTTGGGAAATTGATGGTCCTGTGCTCTCTTTAGACATGCTCAGTTTGAGTTATATTGTAATGATGATATACAGAAAATCCCTGGATGAATGTGTCTACTCAAATTAAAAGTTCAGGAGATAAAGTATTGGAAGACATTCATTATGTTGATAAAATTATATTTCCTTAAGGGTGGATGAAATAGAAATACTGTTAACTAATGATATATGGAGGACATTATAATCATTGTAATGAAACAAACTATATGATTTGTTGAATGTAGAACTGGTGATCTGTCCTGTAAGCTTTCACTCAATTCAGAATAAAAACTTAAAAAAAGAAAGAAGGAAGGAAGGAAGAACGAAAGAAAAGACATGAAGACCAACCCAGAACTGTTTAAAAACAGGACATATGTAATTGAAAGAAAGCAGGACCACACACACACTGCAGATGGTTTCACATTTTGAGATTTGGGGGTCTCAAGGCAAGGAAAGTTGGCCCATCAAAGATCACCTAGGAGTGGATGTTCTATTCCAAGTTGTTGACCTTGAGATGAAATAAGAGGAAAGGCTGACTGTTTTAAAATGCAGGGAGGTGTGTGTGAATTCCCAAACTTGCAGTTGGTCCTCATTTGACCTAGCTTGGATAACTAGGGTTGTTGAGCTGACTAGAACCTGATCAGATGAATATAAAGATGTTTGATACTCTGAGCAAGCATCAGTTACTACAATTTGATGAATTGGACTTTTGCTTATGGATGCAGTTTCTCAAAATTCCAATGAGAGTGGAAATGTCTTCAGATCAAAGAACATGCATGTCTTCTCAGTGTACTGGGTTGGTTAAGTGCCATCGAATCAATTCTCACCCATAGTGACCCTGTATAGGGTTTCCAAGGAGCAGCTGGTGAGCTTGAACCACCGACCTTCTAGTTCAAATGACTTTGCAGTCTGATGCATTAGCCCACAGCAGGTAGACATGGACAATTTAGACATTGCTATTTTAATAAAGGCATTAAGTGACTGACTTGACAGATTTTCATGGGTGTGTTTAGTATTAGAATGAGGGGTCAAAGGAAAATCTCCACTGACTAGTTTTCCTCTTTGCCAGATGAGTCTGGTGAAAGGGGGTATGGAATGATGCTGATAAAATTGTAATTGTTAGTAGTATTAATCATGATTGTCAAAACTTTAATTGTAGAAGATACGTAGCTAAAAGGAAGGAGTAGTTATCTTTTATTTGGGGAATGGACAATCCCAGGACCATCAAGAAGGAAGAGCATGAGTGGAGCTTGGAATCTCTGCCTGAAGAAGCAGCAACTGCAGAAATGGTGGCACAGGTGGTGACATGGAAAGGCGGAGCAGTTATGAGCTCTAGGCCCATGGGCTGAATGAGGCTGTGTTCCTATGGACTAGCTACTGGCTTTTGGAGTTTTATGTGTACATCAAATATTTCTGATTTGTTCATCCATAAAATATAAGGGGAAAATGGGTGGGGGGGGATGGGTAGAGTGGAAGAAAACACTCAGAATAAGAAAGAGCCTAGAACTGAACATAAAGAAACACTAAAGCAGTTCAGGAATCAGAAAAGAGCAAGACATACTTACTTTGTACTAAGACATTGTTGTGTGTGTGTGTGTGTATGCTTTGTTTTGTTTTCATAGTGATAGACTAACACATAATACACATAATGCAAAAAAAGTACAGAAAATTTACTTTCTTTAAAAATTACATTTTAAATACTTCATTTTCTTGTTTAACTATAGAAAATAAATGAATGGAACTAGAATATCTTTCAATATTAACACTATCACTATTAAAGGAGTAAGAGTATTTGCAATTTTTTTCATTGAAGTATTCTATTTATATAAGATGAAACAAATTAAACTACAGAAAATGTTTTAAATTCAATTAAAGTGTCTTATTAATATTTATGATCAAACAAATATGAAATTGCTTCAAAAATGTTGTGGGAAAATGGAATGAAAATATATTGGAAAATTTCCACAAACTTTCTGAAGCCTGCTTGTATATTTCCTGACAAAAATTACAATTTCAATATTAGCTTTCATTAAATGGAAATTAATCTTGAAAGAGATATGAAATAAGAGAGTGAAACTTCTAGGTGAAAACAAATTGTAATAGGTTCTAACTATTTTTATTTTACTTTTAAGGCATTTGGAATTTGAATGCACAAATTGGAAAGAATATACAACTTCATTTTCAAGAATTTGACTTAGAAAATATTGAAGATGTGGTTGAAATCAGAGATGGTAGAGAAAATGATTCTTTGCTCTTAGGTAAGTTTAAATATTTGTAATTTGAATATTGTGCTCAATAGAACAGTGTACACCTTAAGAGAGACTAATAGAGCATTTCCAAATAAATGTAATTAGCCTTTTAAAATCAGAAAATAAAAATACAACAATAGGGAACACGTTGAGTTTATATGAAGCATTTAATGTGGGGTTATGTTGAAGCAAAAAATTATAAAAAGGGTTCTCACATTGGTGACATTTTGAAAAATGATCCTTTTTGAGCTTTCTTGACAAATCAGGATTAATATTTAGAGTCATCAGTTCCTACCACTACAATAAGCTAACAGAATCTTGGAGATTCTTTCTGACATCCACAGATTCCTATTAAATACATTTTTTGTTTCACTTTAGTCAAATAAATTATGTGTTTGTAATTCAGATTTTAGAATGTTTTTTTGCTTGCAATTTATTATTACTGTGACTCTCATAATATCTGCTTATATATAAATATGTGACAGTGATTAAAAAATTGACAAAGTTGGTTTGACTGATCAATTTGTTCATTGGTAATTATTTTTAAATACATATAGAAAAAAAGTATATTCTTTTTAGAAGAGAGCAATTTTGTACCTCCATAAGAAATACATGAAACCACACAAAATGTTATCATTCAAATGTAATAGATAATATGCTAATCAGTTACTTGCCAATTTTTAAGATAGAAGTAATTAATGAGATTAAGAAGATGCATGAAAGGTTAAATGGAATTACATAAAACAATGTATTTTAAAACTAAAGGTGTATTATCTAAATGTGTTTTGGACTCAAAGTAAAGCTCACTTATCAAATCTGACTTATTAGCTATGGAGATGCAATTACATTAACTCTATTTATTCTCAGTATCACATATCTTAGGACAGGTTTTTAAGAAATGTAAAACCAGAGAAATATGTATATGTGTACATGTATGCTTTTGTTGTTAAGTGCCGACAAGTCATTTCTGACCCATGGTAACCCTGCATAGGGTTTCCAAGGAGCATCTGGTGAGCTTAACTGCCATCCTTACAGTCCAAAAAGCTTTGCAGTCTGGCACATTAAACCACAGCGCCACACCAGGACTCCATGTATGGTGGTGGTGGTTATATATGTATGTTGTTGTTGTTATGTGTCGTGGAGTCGGTTCCGACTCATAGTGAACCCTGCACAGGGTTTCCGAGATTGTTAATCTTTATGGGAGCAGAATGCCTCATCTTTCTCCCGCGGAGCATCTTGTAGTTTCGAACTGCTGACCTTGCGGTTCGGAGCCCGAATTGTAACCACTACGCTACCAGAGCTCCTTTATAAAGAAATTTATTATCATGGAAATGGCTTACAATTGCAAAGTCCCAGATCCCCAGTGGAAGAGAGAGATCTAAAGCCGTACTTGCATGTCCATTATATTGGGAACAGGCCATACCCCCAAGGAAGCATCACTTCAACTGACTCGCTGCTCATAGATACTCATCATGGCGTTAACTAGTCCTGTATTAGCTCATCACCACAGGAACAAGTACCTCTTAACTACGAAACCTCTGGAAATACTGGCCTAATCGTATTAACACAGACCCCAAACCATTATAGGGTCTATTAGGATATTAATTGGTGTCTAATTGGTATTTATCAAGTTGATTCAACATAAGAACTAGTCTTCTGCACATCATCAATCAGAAAATAGGAGGGGGTCACAAAGATGGTATTTTACCCACGTCCAGAAATTGATATTATTTTTGTTGTTGTTAAGTGCTGGCAAGTTGATTCTGACTCATAGCCACTTGTATAGGGTTTCCAAGGAGTGACTGTTGAATTTGAACCAGTGTCCTTGTGGTTCAAACCAACCTTGTGGTCCATTGCTTACCCTATAATAGAGCAGTGTTTTCTTCCTTGTTATGTCAGAATATTAGGTTAAGGGAAGTTGGTCCTTACTGTGCATGTAAGGCTGGCCAGGTCTAATCTCAGCCAATTCTGTGACCTTGACCTCATGCTTTTCTTAATTAAGCAAAATGTTGATGCTTTGGCTATAAGAGAATAGCTTAAAACAGGAAGTTAGTTCTTGTTTTTGCACACATATCAAAGATGATGAGTAATTTTCAGACCATACTCTCAAAAGAATGAAGAGTGGTAACTTGAGTCACACCTTCTAATAAGATGGGAACTCAAGTTATATTCCACGCTAATAGTGTCTCATCAACCTAACAGACTACTCACTCCAAAATAATACTACAGCCACAGATATAGATGTGAGGAGCCACAAAACATAAAAAAAAGGAGGACCATGGTTAGAAGGGCCAAAACAGGTAATTAACTGAACCACAGCAGTCAGGAATTTACTATCCATTAACCCTTTGGTTAAGGATTCTTCAGAAAAATCCTAAGAGTTCAAGAGTGAAGTTTCATAGGAGAGGTTTCAGACCCAAACAGTGAACAAATGGAGTTAAACAATAGAAGTTTCTTGTGGGGTTATAAGACTAAGAACTAATTAACTACAAATTTGATTTTTATATGCACATATGTAAAAATATTCTGAGTAATTTTTACATTTCCAGGACATGCTGTCCTTTAAAAAAAAAACCATAACAAAAAAACTTCATTAGTCTAATAATAAAGAAAATTTGATGTTCACTATTTCACCTCTTTATATTAGCATATATCACTGAAAAATAAAATCCAATTATGAAAGGATACCTTGAAATCATAGTTTTCAAATAGCTCCTGTGAAGTAGAATTACTTTCAGGGATTCTAATAAACATTTTAAAGGATGAAGCACTTGTTAAATTAACTTAAATCTTTAATTACTAGAAAAAAGTATTTTCTTGTTTATGAAACTCTCAAAGCCCTGGAATTAGCAGGAAAAAGCTTTAAAAATCATCATTTAGATTTGTACTACTTTTAATTAATTCATTCTTTACATCAGTCATACTTATAGATTTACAAAAATAAGCAAAAAAAATATATATATAGACAAAAATTTACTAAGGGAGACTATAATCTTCATTATTTTATGTTATTGTTGAATTCCACTGAGTCACTTCAGACTTGTAGCAACCCCATGCGCTGGAGTAGAACAAGCACGCTGTTTTCTTGGCTATAGTCTTTATGGAAGCAGAGAGGTCTTTTTCCAATCGAGAACTCACCCAAGTGAGTTCTCACTAATGATCTTTTGGTCAGCAGCTGATCAATTAACCTTTGTGCCTTGAAGGCTCCTTTAAGCAGGCTAATGATCATTCCTCACCGAGAACAGGAATTTGAAAAGTAGTGGTGCTTAACCAGGTAATATCATGAGTAATTTATTAGAGAGTTGCAGAAGACTAAAGTAATGTTAAAGTTGGTTTCCTAGAAGCAAAGTTCAAACTGTAATAGAACATACACATACGTCAAGTTCATGAACCAGTTTGCATGTTAATAACCATGTTCAGAAGTTGGAATTGACACAATAAGTATATTTCCTTCTAGGGAGAAAGGATCATTTCATTGATTTTCTTGTTTTCTTTTGGAGCAGCTGTATATACAGGACCTGGTCCAGTAAAGGATGTGTATTCTACTACCAACAGAATGACTGTATTTTTCATCACTGATAAGCAGGTGACTAGAGGGGGCTTTAAAGCAAACTTCACTACTGGCTATCATTTGGGGATTCCAGGTAAGCCCACTCAAGATAACACATTGCATGCTAACTTTTGGAGGAAATCTATAAAGTATATTAGATTTCAAGGCCAAAATCAATTTCAATGATGTACAATAAAATGCAAATTCTTTTTCACTGTAAGGAAGATTTCCTTTCTTCCTTAAGTCCTATGTAAAATTTATCTGACTTTGTTCAAAACAAGGAACAATAATGTTTTCAAGCAGATTATAATTTCCATTTATTTGGTACATAGTCTTAATTTTGTTATTGCTGTTGTTGTTACTTCATATTCATTTCATTCTTTTTTGAAGAGTATGTCATCAGTTAGACTAGGTTTTCTAGAGAAGAGTAAACAGTGTGTGTGTGTGTGTATATATATATATATATACACTGTGAACCTCAGGGTCAGCAGTTCGAAACTACCAGCTGTTCTGCAGGAAAAAGATGAGGCTTTCTGCTCCCGTAAGGATTTATAGCCTCAGAAACCCTGTACAGGGTCGCAATGAGTTGGAACTGACTCCGTGGCTCATAACACTATGAGTTCTGACTCATAGTGACCCTGCACAGGATTTCCGAGGCTGCGAATCTCTTCACAAGAAAGAACCCAGCTAGTTAGGAAGCCGGATGGCAGGAAATTTCAGCAAGTAAGAAGAAGGTGGACTCCCAGGATCTCCAGGTAAAAGAGCAAGCCTCTGGCTCAAGTCTAAAGGACCAAGATTCAGAGGATGAATCAAATGCAAGATACAGACCCATCAGAAAAACAAGTAAGCTTTCCCTGAATGTCTAACATATTGGAAGCAGACCACACAGCCAAGGAAGAATCCTTTCAATTGATTGGCTGCTCATAACCAACCTCATCATAGAGTTAACTACTTTATATTAGATTTCATAATGGGAATAACTATGTCTTAGCTTCCAAACCATTGAGAATCTTGGCCCAGTCAAGTTGAAAAACAACACAACCTTGATAGTATGCTGAAAGTTGAAAGTGGGAGACTTGATATTGCTATGATCCCTTTGCTAAGAGAGTTTTCAAAAAACAATAAGGAAAAAGGCATGCAAGCTACTTCATTGTCACCATCAAATTAATAAAGTAGCATTCTTAAACTGTGAGGAGCAACCAGTATAAAATTGCTGGAATGAAGAAAGTTGAACATGATGTTTGCTCACACAAAGAATCTTCTTACCTGTATTTACAGTACTATATTAAAATATAATCCAATATCATTCCTGGTGTGGCACTATAGGATAAGCTCTGACTGCTGTCCACAAGGCCTGCAATTCAAACCCACCAGTCACTCCTTGGAAACCATACACAGGGTCGCTATGAGTCAGTTCTGAGTCATAGAGATCCTATAGAGGGTTTCTGAGGCTGTAAATCTTTACAGGAGTAGAAAGCCTCATATTTCTTCCCCTGAAATGGCTGGTAGTCTTAAACCACTGACCTAGTAGGTCACAGTCCAGTGCTTATTTTACAGAGCTACTACGCTCCATATACGTGTCCACTTATAATTCTTTACATTTAACAGTGTACCCAAACTTCACTGTTATAAAGTTGCAACGAAATGTATATTAATCTTTACATCAATCTTTACCTTACAGTTAAGTCATGGTCAGCTTGTTGTTTTAATCTGCTAGATGCATAGAGAAGAGATAAAATTGGATGATCTTTATCTGGCCTCTTGTCTACTCCCACATCCAGATGTGAATTTAAATTTTATTTATATCTGTTCCTTCACTCAAAATTGGCCTTGATTCCAAACCAGAGAGGGCACTACTGCTTCATCTTTATAGCAAATAAGGAAGCTAGCCAGGATGTACAACTGGTCTTCCAGCTGACCTGATCATAAACTACAACATTTGTTGTTGTTGTTATGTGTCGTGGAGTCGGTTCTGACTCATAGTGACCCTGTATAGGGTTTCCGAGGCTGTGAATCTTTACAGGGGCAGAAAGCCTCATCTTTCTCGGGTGGAACAGCTGACAGTTTCGAACTGCTGACCTTGCGATTCACAGCCCAATTCGTAACCACCACACTACCAGAGCTCCTTAAACTACAACATTTACTGATACCCAAATTACTGAGGTAGGAGAGAGTATTTGTGCAATCAGTTCACCTGCACGTTAGAAGCAGTTAATTGTGAATTACAAGTCAATTAATTTATCAGTAAAAATACTCAGTGAAGTAAATAACAAATTAGCAAGTATGAAAAATTGTACAGCATAAAAAGTGAATAGACTTTCAAACCTATAAAAATCAAAATTTATTTTAAAATAAATTGACTACATGAAAGAGAAGATATAGAAATGACAAATCTTAAGAAGCCAAAAAAATACATTGTCATGAAAACACCAATAAATTTAATGTAGATGGTAGTGATTGTATTATACTGAGTTGGTTCTGGCTCATGGGACTGTGCATAAGATTTCCTTGACCCTATATAGTATTTCTGAAGCTGCAAATCTTTATGAGAACCGAAAGCCTCCTTTTCTTCTGCAGAGCAACTGATAGATTTGAACTTCTGACCTTGCAATTAGCAACCAAGCTTGTAATCCACTATACTACCAGAGCTCCTTAATTATATATATATATATTTATTATCTACTTCAAAGATAATTAGAAACTACTCCAAATATAATTAGGATCACTGCTGTGGACCACTAACCAATACAATTCTGAGAATGTGATTTTGAATTGAATCTCTCTGATTCTGTCCTTTGATGATTTTTTTGCTGCTGATTTTCCTAAGATAATTATATTTGTGTACCAATACTTCATATACTATTTCAAAATATTTTTCTTTGTTGCATAACTATTATTTTAATTTCAAATTTTTAAAAGTTTTTATTGTGAATTATATGAAGTTTACATGGGAGAACATTAGCTTTACATTCATCCTATCGTATTTCATTTCATTGCAATTATTTCAATCCACTCCATACATCATCAAACAACCAAAGGGTACACCCCACAAGCCTGCCACCCAGCTGTCAGCATACAGCCCCTCTCCCTCCCTGAGTTCAGAGTTCCCAGCTGCTCCATCTCTCCGTGTTATTATCTCTGCCTCCATCTCTGGTGTCTGCTTCTCTGTGTAGCATCCTGCACTTCACTCTTCTCCCTTAATGGTTCCAGGACTGCAAAAATCAACCACTCTCCTCCTTTTGTTACAAAATGTCTTCTTTACGTTCCCAATACTCACAGTCAGTGCTGATAGCAATTATCACAATTGAACCACAAGAGTCTTATCCCCAACTGTTTTCATTAGCCCCACCCAGACAGGTTGGAAACCACTCAGTGGAGATTCTACCTTCCCCCACGCCCTCTGGAATTAGGCTCCCTCTTAGAAACTTGTAAGACAGTCACTTCTTTGTAGAAGAGCTTTTGTATCCCATCATTTTGTGTGGCCAATGTCTAAGTTGCCCATCCCTGTCATCCCTGTGTACCGAAGGGGTGGGAATGATCCTCACTGTAAAGATTCTGTCCCTCTTTTGAGCTACTAACTCCAACACTATAGGTCAAGTTCATCAAATTGTAGTGGATTATTATTTTGTTCTTTTTATTTCTTCTTCAAGTTAAGTTCTTATTATCCAGCCATTGAAGCCAGGTCAAGTGGGTACTACCTGCAAATATGGGTGTTCTGCATTTCCCCTCACTTCATATCAACTGGACACTTCCCTCTCCACTCTAGTCTTCTATGGCCATGTCCCTGTCTCAGGGCCCAGGAGTCCCCAAGTTTCACCATACTACTGGCCAACCAGGTATCAGCCTGGGTTGACAAGGGTCTATTGAACTTGGTCGGACTTAGCTCACAATTTTATTGCTGTTTTCCCACTTCCCCTTATTGGCAACCAACATTGTCACCACCCAGACAACATGCCTGCTCATATATTCCACTTGAGTCTTAGTCTTGGAAGGGGGTTTGCCCTGAGGGGACCTGACCACTTGCCTTGATGGCTCCCGGCAAACAACTTGTTTGTTCTTGTAGTAGTCAATTGGACTGCCATTATTGTTTTTTTTATTTTTCCTGCTGGTCTTTCTTTCAAGAAGTATCTTCTGTTATAGCTGCTCCAGGCTGGTCTGCTTATCCTTTCAAGTGGAAAATTCCCATCTCAGAAGATTCTGGATGGGATTCAGGATTCCATGTATCGTGTATGCAATGCAAAGTCTCCAAAGGAAGCCTCCTTCACTGGGCAAGTTGTAGCCCCATTGTAGGTATTCCAATTAGTTACAGGCAGAAGATGGACTTACAACCTTTCTATGGCAATGGTCCTAGCTATTCCTTTCTCTCCCCCTTAAGTGTCTATTTTACAATGGTAATCAATGGAAACCAAGATTCAAAAGACAGCCAAGCATCTTAACAGTTTTTCCCCTCTTTTACCCATTCAAACCATGCCTCAATCCCTGTATCCCAGAGCCCTGTTGTTCCAAGGTTGTGCGTACATCATTATTTACCTCTGTCCCACTTAGACCATGCAAACCTGCATAATGTTCTCCCATCCACCTTGTTCTTCCATTCTCCACCCCTTTATTGTGTATTGTGCCTCGCCACCCCCAGAACCCAAGCTATCCTGTGTCTATTTCCTACCATGTGCTCCACCTTCCCATCCATCTCTTCACCCCACCACATCACCACATACATCCTGGTAACCAGAAAATAATATTTTTTGCCCTCTTTTAATGAGGGTTCTTTTTCTTAATCTTAAAGGTGCTATGAAGTATTTCTCCTTTTGTGACTGACTAATTTCACTCAGCATAATGTCCTCACGGTTCATCTATGTTATGTGGTGGCTTGCAGCTTCTTTGTTATTCTTCAAGGTAGCATGATATTCCATTGTATCTATGTACCACAGTGTGTTTATCCATTCTTCCATTGATGGGTACTTAGGCTGTCTCCGTCTTTTCGCTATTGTAAATAGTGCTGCAATGAACGTTGGTGTCATGTATCTACTTATGATATGGTTTATAGTCCTTGTGGGTAAATACCAAGTAGAGGAATTGCTGGATCGTAAGGTATTT